ATACATACTTCCTTCTATTATTTTCGGACATGTAACTTAGACGTTTACATTAAATTAATAATAATGTCTTGACGCATTGGAAAACAATGTTTAACGTAAAATATTATCACCGAAGCTGAATTAAATAACCGTAGGATTTAGATTGTTACACAAGGACGCGAATCGCATTAACTGTATAATAGGTATAATTGAGGATACAAATGCGCGAAGGTTTAAATGGGCAGGATTGATCAAGAACAAGAGGATAGCAATAAAGTTCACAACTGTGTTGAGTTGCTACCAATTGATACAGTCAACCAATCTAATACTATATTTATGGGGATAAAATTCATAAAGGATGAAGTTAGACGAGACTATCATCATAAATAACGAATATTGAAATTTTCCTTTTATTTTCCCTTTTTATCGATAAAATTTACAAAATAGAGGCCAGAAACAATATAGGCGTTGAGGCAGGATTACTGTTTTTTTTTTTAATGGTTTCTCCGATAGTATGTAGCTTTTGAAAGAGGACTGGTTCCTCTACTTTCGAACACAAGTCCTCGAACCGAAAATTCTTTCTCGCCTAATTCCTCTCGATACTTTTCCTGTTGGTGTAGAAGATATTTTTTTCTAGGCCGATATGTTGAGATCTTGATGGACATCGTTCGTTCCGAATGTTATTGTGGGGTCTAATATTACAGCATCTTTTATTTTTCCATGAATCTTGTTGAGCCTTCTGTATCCAGACAAACCTCTTGGAAACATCTATCATTTTACAACACCAAGAATTCTTTTTTCTTCATCATGCTGCGCTGCACTGCGCTGGTGAGCGACAAGGAACATTTTACTTGAACATTTACCTGAGCTAGAGTTTTTAAATCTCGACTACATTAGGGGCTAAGGTATCCATTCTCTGGAAATCCTCGGGGAGGAGAGTTGTAGTTGAAGCGTTCGTCCACACTGAGCCCGGGAAAACTTTCCTATCAGACATGCATACATTTAGTAGCCAATTGTTGTGATGTCAAATGGGACACCTAGTTTCTATCACTTGCTGTTTGTTTGCTATTTGTTACAACTTTACGACTTTTCCCTCAAGGACTACTACCCAGGGCTTTTTTTTACATGTATACAACGATTATTACTTTGGAGAAAAAGAAAGAAACAAACTACCTATAAGAAATAGTGTTTAAATAATTCTTGACGTCCTATTAAATATAATTAAACGAACAATAATAATTTTAGAGATACGTTTTTAATATTTGTTTTATAAGACATGGTTATGTCTTACCATTTTGGGGGACTTCAACCCGAAAGCCCCTCCCCCCTTCCGTAATAAACTTCTATATTACTCCTTTCTATGACAAACAGATTATCATATTTTCGATCTTCATTCCTGAAACCTAATTTCGCCAGAAACCAGGCACTGATTAATTTTACATTACTTAACAATACTGAAAAGGAGCCTCGTAAGAGTAAAAGATCACTATCAAGTGCATACATCATAGCCCAACACTTGTTAGCCGGTAAACCATTCATCGCCTTTACACTTATCCTGAGTATAATATCTAGATTCCAATAGCGAAGGGAGAAAATTTCGCTTTATGGTTGACAGTAAATATATTAAAGGAGGAAAAACTATGTTGATATTCTGAACTAGATTTAAGGTACCTGCATATTTCTACCCACACTACCTTAAAGAATTATCATGGAAATCTAGGAGAGAGAGATAGAGAGAGAGGAGAGAAACTTGTCCAAAAAATCGGCAGACTGGCAAATTTTGCCAAACGTAATAGCTGTCTCAATATTGCCTTTCAAACCTAAACAGAGAGCTGTGCCAAGATTCATTTCGAGCAATCGCCACGACGTAAATATAAACAGATCAAGCTGCGAATCGAATTCTGCTCCGAAACGCTCGCTGTTGGAAACTCACCATCGCGACCTATATATAATATAAAGTAGAGTTACTTCATATCAGTATTATTATGTACGTAGAAAAACATAACACGAGAATAAAGAATTGTTTGCAATAGCTCTATTTTAAAATTTTGGGAGACTCGATCAAACATCTGAAAAAATATACAAGAAAACACATTCATCTTATTATCTTTGCTTGAGGGCTGTTCAAGATATCACTGACTCAAATGAATGAGGACAACACTTCATCGTCTGTGAGTTACATTTAATCAATCTATAAACTAATTAAACGTTTGAACAACATGACCATAATTTTAAAAAAATATAAGATTCATATAAAAGCTTTTTGTAACTACAAATTAAATTTTTAAAATAAAAGATCTACCGATGATTTGAAAGACCACACAATAATTTCAAAACCTCAAATTCAAAATAATAAAAATAAATTACATTCATGTATCTCAATGTCAAAACTCTTTTTTTTTCTAATGAAATCTTAAAACGTCATGTTTAAATTAAACGTAATCAGAAATGAAATTACTATTATTTTTTTATATCTTGGCTTATCACGCTTCCTGAATATATAACACAGAATTTCCCATGTTATTGGCCATCTTCTTACTCCCCATATGAAAATCTCTTTTAAAACTAAATGTAATACCTACAAAATTTATTTACCTAACAATAAACATTAAATATTTTAATAGAAAAATTAATTGTATTAAAAAGTACAAATTCGGAAATATTACTGGGCTTGCACTAAAAAATAAAATTAAAACACGCATTCTAAAAATACAGTTGGGCGAGATCGCCAAAAACGAAATAATTTGAGAAAATATGGAAGTAAATCTTGGAACAAATATATAAAATATGATCAGAATGGTCAGTCTCGACATTTAAAAATAATGATAGAAGGAAGATTGCCAAGAAAAGCGTACGCGTGGAAAATAGGTTGAAGTCGACATAGAGTATGAATGACATGGAATAAAGAAATGGGACATATATGGGATATATGGTGGGACGTGATCTACGAGAGAAATGGCGCTTGGAAAGGATAATAAAAAAAATGGCAAAGAAAATTTATTTATGTTAAAACTCACTCCTTTAAGTCTACTTTAAATAACTCAGTAATTATGACAATAGAAAACATGCATCTAAGTATATATGTATTTATTTTAAATTTAATTTAAAAAATAACGACATGTCCTTTGAAACAGATTGTAATATTTTTCAATGAACAAATTTAAAAAAAAGGATAAATTTACATAACATTCTGTATAAAAAATAAGAGGGATGGAAGACCATTAACAGATAAAATAAAAATATTTTATAATAAAGCACGTAAAACAAATTTAGTTTCACATATTGAAATAATTGTAATAAATAAAATTTTGTTTTAACAATTTTAAATTGTCTCTGATGAAAGATGAGTAATCCGAAACGAAAGACAAAAAAAAAATAAATATAATTATATAGAAGAGTAAAAAATTCATAATATAATATAGAGAAACTTTTTTTTGGAGCTATTCAATATTATAATTCTTTAAGAAACTTCCGTGGTCCGGGAACAGATTATTTCAGTGAGTAATTGTACTACTGTACTCTAATTCTCAGGTTCGAGTCCAGCTATAGCAGATTAATTATTGCTGATATTAAATCAGATGTAGAGTAACAATGAAACCCAACACGCCTCAATAAAGAAAAATTGAGGAATAGAAATCCCCTATTTAATTAAGAGGAAAAACCTACCGGTGTATCATGATCTCGTTCAAATTACCTCTTTACATAACCGTGTACCAAGAAACAGTACTTCTTTACTAAGTACTGAACCTAAGATCCAAACTTATTTTATTTATTTATCTTTTTAAGAACGCGTCTGTTATCCATGTCAACTATTAGATATTACAAAAGATATTTCTCAGAATTATTTATAATGTGCAAGAAAAAAATCTCATCTTTAAATTTTGTGCGTGATAAGTTATTAATGATTGTCTAAAAGCATTATTAATATTTATAATATATGTTTAGTTTTCAATTTTATGTATTTTGTAATTCAATCGATCGATATTTATTACTCGCGGAAATTTTATGTTCATTCCTTGTCAATTTATTTTTTTTAATATTCTGAGATAATTATTTAATAAATTAAAAATATTACTCATTCAACAAAACAATCTTCTGAGATTGTTCAGCAAGGATCAGTGAAATATTAAAAAAATATCTAATTTATATTCCATATAAATCCAAGATTACAAAGATAGGATAAGGATATAATTCGTGTATATAAAGGCAAACCACCAATTAAATATAAATATAAAGCAAATATTTCATCATCATTAAATATAGATATAAAGTCAAATCATCAATTAAATATAACCTAAATTAACAGAAACTTATAAAAGATCAAGCACAATTTTAGAATTTTTTTAAAAATCTAATGCGGTGGCAAAACCGGGATAAAAAACAATTTCTAAATTTGCACTGATCCGTTTGTTTGTTTTTTTCTTGATTTTCTTCTAAGATTATTTTTTTCTTGATTTTTTCTAAGATTTTCTTCTATTAATTATTAATAATCTAAATAAATTACTTTTAAACTTAAGTTCTATATACCGCAAATAAAAACATTTTCCTATTTAACTCCTGACAATAACTTAAATTATTTAAAAAAATTATTTATGGCTACACCATTATATGTAAAAACTTGATTACAAATTGAAGTTAAATTGTTCAAAAAATTAAGAAAAGCAATTTTACATTTCATTACAAGTGCAACTAATTAATTGCTGAGCATAACTAATTATTACATCAGATGAATGGATAGAGGTAAATGTCTGATGTTACATAATTATTTCATAACTGCATTTCCTGATCATTATAAAATTGTTTTCCAGATAGCATTGATAAGATGGTAATCATGACACACACATATTTCACTAGAAATTAATTTTGTATCTAGAAATCAATGTCAGAATCTGGTACACAATAAAGTTACCCAAAATTAAAAAAAAACTATATATATGAATATTTCGGTTGATAAAGCTAAACTTAAAAATATAGACGTTAAAATTTATAATCATACAGCATATGATTACGAAATGTATTTCTCAAACCCCAAAGAGGTAGTATTTATGTGAGTATACTGGCAATTCATTTTGCTAAATTAAAAAGGCTTGATGTCATCAGCCTGAGATTGAAGTAATATTTTACAACATTAAAAAGTTAGAGCAAAATCAGTTGTTTACAAAAAAATATTGACACGTTGAACAGGTAATCTGAATATACTTAAATAACATCGGACGAATTAGCAAACATTCTGGCCTTGAAAATTTTGAAGAGCTCACGTTAATAATATTTCTTAGTAAACATCCAACTCAAACATCGCTTATTTATTATCAGAAAGAGGAGGGAGACATCTGGTAACAATCAAAAGATAGCAGCAGTGTGGAATGCAGGATACATCAGCCTGTACCAAGCACCGATTGATTTGGTTAAGTAATCATTTAACGAATATTGTATCAATTGGGAAGTCTGGGACTTCCTATTGCAACTATCTAACCTTCCCAATAATAATCAACAATTCTAGGACAGTTTGTCAAATGGCAAACACCAATTTAAGAGGCTGAATTGTTAAAAAAATATATATATCAAATTTTACTTTTAAAAAACAGAGGATTTGTTGTTGTTTTTTGTTATCAAACTATTTATCAGAGATAATATACTGATAAAAATACACTTGATAATCTTCAATACTGTGACAATTCTCTGATAAGTAACCTACTGATTTCTTTCACAATTGAATGATAACAGTTTAAAATACATTGCAAAAAATTACTCACCACTAAAGAAGAACGATGATAATCCAGTGAACAGGCTCCTGGGCACTAAAATCAACAGTGGACCACAATATTTATAACCTGACAACTGTAAATTTGAGGTTTATACACAGAACTTGACTAGATTCGTACAATACCACCATAAATAGACACACAACGAAAAATTTGTTAGTAGTTGAGACTTCACCTCAAGAGAAAAAACCCGCGCACATCCCAGATGTTATAAGAGCTGTAGTATATTTCAAAATAAATGATTGGACCCACAGCTGACGAGATAAAGGTAAGGGGAGGGGATAACGCGGGAGTGGTTTACCGACCCCTGCTGCCATCTTCTACCGCCAACTGGAACCTTCAACGAATTCCAACTTTGTAAGTACAAATATTAACTTAAATATTAGAAAATTTAAATCATTCTTTAAGCTTATTAAACGTTTTCCTGATTAATAACTATATAAAAGATAATAATCACAAATTTATAACTCAATGATTATTATATGAAAAAGAAAGATTTAAATTTTCATGGGATATATGTGTATATTGTTTTATATACCATTGACACATAATACAATTAATTATAATACTTAATATTACCACGATAGATATTTATTTTATAGATGCTAGATACTATTAGTGTATCAGTAATAGACAGTAATACATTACTAGTAGAGTGTACTTGATATTTAACTGCACCTGAACAGCACCTAATCTATGCTTCATTATTGGCAAAATTGTGAGATTATCAACAGTTAACTAACAAATATTGATAATTTGACAATTTATCCTCCTCTCTGGCAATTGGTTTAATAACATATTATTGTGTAATGTGTGGTATATGTATATTAGGCTCAGAGGATTTTTCAAAATATACATAAATTAAAGCAAAGTAAGAAAATAATTTTTAAATAAGAAACATCAAAATGTTGAGCAACAAAAATACTAATAATAATAAAGTAAATTTAATTTTATAAACTGGAGCTCTTATTTTATTAGATGCAATAAAAAAGATACGGTATGCAGTCAAATGCAAAACAAAATATGCATAAATAATCTCTGAATATGCTGCAATAAAACAGTTAAAATATGAAATAGCTAATACGCCTAAAAAAAGTTCTGAATTAAGACAGAAAGTGAAAGAATGTTTAACAATTAAAAGGGTTTTTTTGTGCTTTCTTCTTCATAAACCATAAATATTAAAACAATATGAACCAGTAAAAAAAAAATATATATATATATATATATTTCAAACAATGGTTAAAAATTTAATATGAAACACTACTTAAAAACTAAATTATAAAGTAATAGAAACTTTTCCCATGAGTTTTAGACAAATTATCATCTTTTATATCTTAAGAGTCTATCCAATAAATCAATTATAAAATAAATAATACACTTTCCTTTGCCATTTAAAATAAAAATAAATATTATTGTTTGTAAAGAAATTAAGTGTTAAGAAATTAACTAAACTAAAATTAAAATTGAGTGTGGTGTTTAAAATTTATAAGAATTTGAGAAAGAGAGAGGAAAGGTGAAGAAACAAAAAAAATATTGTATTAATAAATCTAATAAATATTAATAAATCTATAAAAATAAATAAATATTAATAAATCTAATAAATATTATATTAATAAATCTTCATGAAAGAAAATATTTTGTAGATTTGTGTGTTTTTTTTTTGTTATTAAAAATGAACTTTACTATTTTAATTTGGAATTGCATCTTTAATGTTGCATTATAGTTTAAATTTCTAATATTTTTTATACTTAGCTGAAATCATCAAAATATGCCTTTATCATGAAATATGCATTATAAAATTTTAATAATTCAATCTAAACACTGATTCATATAACTATTTAGTGCTAATTCAGTCGGAAGTTCAAAAATTGCTTGCTGACAAATTCCATACAAATAAAAAATTGTTTATATTTTATTAATCCACTTATAACATAAATTATTTGTATGATTCATTCAATATGCTATTTATTAGTTTTTTTTTTCTGTGAAATGGCTTAGTATATATTGTGTTAGTATTTCTAGTCAATTTATTTACAGCAGATAGCTTTTCATTAAATGCTGTGGAGTAGCATAAGTCAATTAATTAATATCAGTTTATTACCTATTCTTATTTTTTTTTTTTAGACAAGAAAATAAACTATCTGCAGCATATTTAATAAAGAAACATCAAATAGATTAATGATAACATAATGTACACTTAAATGTTTTATATTATTAATTGTATTATTCATCTTCTTTCATTGATTTTTTTTATTTCTTATTGCTATCATTCTAATGTTCATGAGGAACTCAATTTTTAGCATTAATTTTAATGTTCTTGCAATATTTCAAGGATAAATCTAAAATCAATTCTAAACATATTAGTTTTTATACATGATGACGAAGAAATTGTAGACTAATGACTTTTGTAAGAGATGCATAGAGATTGCAGTCATTTGAAGTATACAAAATTAATAAGTCATGTAACTGTTGCCTGGAAGTTTCGATTGTTTAAGGCCGTTCAATATTATATTTCAACTTATAACTCTCTTCTTTGCTTTGTGTATTTCCATAGTAAGCAGTGCTGGCCACAGGGTAGACGAATCCGGACAATTGCCCAGAGAAGCCAGGCTTGAAGTGCCAACCAAAGATCGGGACACGCTGCCTAAGTGGTATGGGCATGTCAGAAGAATGACGGAGGAATATTGGCCGAGCCGAGTCCTGGATTGGGTTCTGCCAGGGAAGAGAGGACGTGGACAGCCCAGAAGCAGGTGGATGGAGAGGGTCCAGGAGGAAATGGCGGGTCAAGATCTGGAGGAAGATGATTGGTGAGACAGAAGCACGTGGAGTTCTGCGCTGACTATGTGCGGCAACCCTTAGATGGAATGACTAAAAAGTATAGGTAAGTAAAAAAAATAATACAAAGTGTATGAGAAAAATTTAACCTCTTAATAAAATTAAAACCCATTAATAAAGCTAATTGATACTGTATGATAATCGACTTATATTGTGAAAATTGGTGAAATTTACTTCTTTGTTTAATCCTGAATCAGACATTATATAAAAGGTATATTGGTTCTTAATGGCAAAACTCTGGGGGAGGGAGGTGATTCTAGACAAAATTTTCAACGAAAAAGTTCATTTGATGCATGGGCCAATGTCGAATGTTTAAGGAGTTATTTGTATTTTTTTTAAAGTAGTCATGATTTTATTGAATAAGAAGGAATTGCTCAAAAGATGTTCAACATAATTAAATTCTTAATAAACTATCATAAATCACACAAAATTTTCTTTGAGAAAACAGTGATTAAATTTACTTAGCCCATTGATAAAATGGACTTTCTCCTATTGTAAAATTTTCGTATTGTTTGTGAATTCAAAGCCGGCTATTCTCACTTTGTCACGGCTTAATGATTCCATTGCTCAGGATATTCTGAAGATCAAAGAGGAACTACTTCTTCGAGGAAAAGAAATATTCTTTCAGTGGATACCAAGACACTGCGGTCTCCATGGAAACAAAATGGCTGATAAACTCGCCAAGGAGGGCTCCACAGTGAACTAACCAGAAAATGAAATATCATATCAGAGAGCCAAAAAAGAAATAAATAAGGCCAGTGAGGCTCTATTACCGTAAAGAGCTGCATTTCGAAAAATCAGTGGAGAAGTTTGTTTAATGAAGCGGATTGAGTTCCCAAGAACCTGCCGAGAAAGCAGGCAGTTGCAGAGTTCGGGATGATAACAGGCCATGACTACCTTAGGAAGCACCATGAATGGAATAGGAGTGGCAGACACTCCACATTGCAACCTATGTAATTCGATAGCACATATGGACACAGCGCATTAAGATGTATCCTTGCGCTTCTTGAACATAAGAGAACTACGTCATCTAAATCGGAATGGTGCTGGGCTGCAAGATCTTTGATGGTGGAAGCCGATAAAGATAGGCATAATTAAAAAAAATAAAAAATGGACTTTCAGAAAGTCTAATAACGCAAAGCCTACCATTATGCAAAATTATTTCATGAATCGGGATTACAGAGATGTGATGCTCGTGTATGGGTACTATAACTTTAGCAGTATAGCGGTGGTATTAGACTTCTTGAAAGTCCCTTTTATCATTGGCCTTCATAAATTTAATCACCATTTTCTCAACAAAAAAAATGGTCTACTTTACGATGATGTACTTAGAATTTAATTATCTTGAGCAGTTTTTGACCAATTCCTTCTTATACAATAAACATTGAGATCATCTCAAATAAAAACACAAAATTGGTCTTAGCTCCTTTTCCTTTCAGAATCCGCCCATGCATCAAATAAACGTTTCTGCTGGAAATTTTGTCTTGATTGTTAGTAGAAAGGTATGAAACACCGTGATCGCAAGAGCACAATAGAAACAGCAATGATAGGCATTTTAAAATTTTCTTTTGGGAACTTTGTTCATACAGGTGTAAATAGAAGACATTGATCTTCAATCTAAAAAAAAAATGGAACCTTTAAATCAACAAGAAAGCTTATTATTTACATTTAAAATCCAACCTGTCCATCACTGGACCCCCTGTCTATAACTGGTGCGTCTACCCTACTGGGTTTTGAAAATAATAAAAATTATTATGATTGAAGAAAAATTTGAATATAAGTATTCAACAGAAATACTCATTTTAAAGTCCCCTGAGTTTAAATAACTAATTCATGCTCAATGGCCTGTGTTTATGTCGTTTTCTCAGTGATGGTGGGGTGAAAAGATATGGATAGGCTCATATCTATCCATGTGTAGGATTCATGCCCACTAAAACCACTTTGCCTGTTCCTCACTAAAACCATTTCCCGTCATAAGACAGCATTCAAGACTTCATGAAGGTAACCAGCAGTGTGCCGTCTCATTGCTGTATTCTCTGTGGTTAATTTCTTTAAAAAACTCATCACTGCCTAGTGTTAAACTGAACTTATAACACCCTGTCTAAAAAAACTTGCACCAAACTGTAATAATATCTTTAAGTTTGGGATAATAATTGAAATATACTTGGGACATTACATTAAGTTTTTCATTAAAATTGACGGAGAGTTCTACTTTATATAGTTGATTTTAGATCTTCTTACATCTTTCTCAAAAATTATTATAAAAATTCTATCAAACATATTACATCCATGTACAATTAACTGGTCTATAGTGTCAGCTAGGTCTTATCCTCATTCAAATAGACAGTGCTTCAATGCCTTATTTTCAAAATTTTATTTATTTGAAATAATTTACCATTTTTCATTGCTAATTGTAATAATAAATAGATAAATGTAAACTTTTAAATAATATGATACTCGACCAAAGTTGAAAAAAAGGAGAAATATTTTCCCAAGTTGGACAGAATTCAGAAATAAAATATGTTAAATAATTATATGCATTGGAAAGCTTTTAGAAAAATGAAAATCTTGCATATTAAGTCAGTGGAGGTAATGAAGAGGTTTATATTTTATATTATTATATTGTTTAATGTAAACTAAATGTTTTCATTTAAAAATTAATTCTCAGCATTCATCAAGTCTTTGAGATCATTGTTGTATCAAGTCTTTTGTTTAATGCTCTTATTCAGTTATCATTAAACTAAATATTTATATCTACTAATTTTCACTCCAATAGAAATTTTAGATTAAATGTTATAAAAATTTATTGAGATTTTTTAATAAGTTAAAATGTTAGTCATTTTGAGTAATGATTTAATCATGATTAAAAATCATGTCTATAATTTTATTTGTTTATCTGCTGAAATAAACTTTCAACCAACCAACTTACAATAAACTTTCATGAAGTTAATCAATGCCCAACTCTGATTCTATATAACATAAGTACACAGTGAAGCCTCCAAGATCTAACAAAGTAATTTTTTGAAAATATAGAGGTTAATCTATATTGTTATCTACAATGTTAATAGTATAGGTATTATAAACATCTTTTTAACTTGTTAACTTGAAGGTCACCAATAAGACTGAAAAATATTATTCCTTTGATTGTTTTCATATGTTCCAAGGATGCGATGCTCCCTCAAACATTTTTGGTTACCTTTTCCACATCTATTCACTTTTCTTGTTAACCTGGTTCATTTTTTCAACTCTTGTTGCTGTTTCAGGGTATTGGAATAGCTGTTAGTGTTATATTTTCAAACTGATCTGAGTGATATTCTCTTCTGCTAATTAATTATGTTACCATAATATTTATTATTCCTTACTTTTAGAAAGTTTAGTTCATTGTTTAGACTCCTCAACCATGATGTAGAAAATTATCTGCCATAGCTCATGACATTCCACAAATTTCAGTGAACTTAATTTTTTTGTTGTTGTGGTTAAATAAATCTCATAAATTATCATGAACTTACTACTCAATAAACATGTGAGGAATCTGTCCAGAAAGAGGCTATAGCAGAAATCTTGAATAGGCCATGATTTTAGGAAAAAACAGAACTTAATTGAATTCAGTTGCTTGAAAGTCCCCTTAAAATGATTATAAGCGAGACAGTTTGTCTTTAAATAAATTTAATCTAATTTACAATGCGGAAATTGATAATTACATAATGTATAATTCTGTTAAGTAATTATTTCCTATTCAACAACATCACAAAAACATAAATTTCCTGCTTTAATGTGTGAATCAGACCATGGTCTTTTTTGTTTGTTTCTTGAGACCGACTATCATTGATTTAAATAATTCCTGTTATTCATGGGATATCCTTTATACAAAGCTATAAATTAGCATGATCATGATAATTAATATAAATTGATAATTTTATAAATAGATTTTTTTTTTTTTTTTTTTTTTTTTTTTTATTTCAATGGAATTTACAACTGTATTACATAGAGAATACAATAAGTAAATGAGAAATTTGTAACATGGCATGTACAACATGAAGAGAAACTACCCATTGGTAGAACTCAAATTAAAGTTCTATATTAGAAGATCCCGAGGCCATCTTCTTTTCAGACGCCTCGGAGGATTATCAGGGATCGAGGATGAAGCAAGGTTTGAAACGAGAGGATTCGGATGATTCTGCAGTTTGTTATGGAAGGAAAGGTATCTGGATTTGGCCAGATCGGAAACATATGGAACATTAAGGTCTTTATGGATGATTTTATTTGTGACAAAGTAAGGAGCGTTGAGGATTTTACGAAGGATTTTGGATTGTAAGGATTGGATACGAGAGGAATTCGATGGTTTAGTGGAGCCCCAAAGCTCAATTCCGTAAGTCCAAATAGGTCTTATTATTGTCATATATACGAGTCGTTTATAATTGATTGAAAGCTTAGATCGTTTGTCTAGTAAGTGCTGCAGTAGTCGAAAACGTCGGGCGGTTTCTAGTCGTTTCAGTCTGGTATGGGGGTTCCAAGTGAGTCGTTTGTCAAGGTGGAGTCCTAAGTAGCGGATTTGCTCAACAGGAATAAGTGGAGTATTATTGAAGGATACTGTAGGACAAGAGGTCATAGGTTTACGACGGAGGGTAAAAGTGATTTGATGGGATTTGTTGGAATTTATTTTTATTCTCCAATTTTTACACCATTCTTCAAGGCTTGTGATATGTGATTGAAGAGTTTGGGATGCAATTAAAGGATCGTTATTAACTGATAGGATACACGTGTCATCGGCATAGGTGGTGATGACAGTGTTGGATTGGGTTGGGATGTCAGCTGTATAAACTGTGTAAAGGATAGGACCTAGGATACTACCTTGAGGAACACCGGCAGACTGAGTAAAAAGAGATGAATAAGCATTGTTATGATTGACTTTGAAGTATCTGTCAGTAAGGTAGGAACGTATAATGAGGAAGTATGTAGGTGGTAGGAATTCACGGAGTTTGTACATCAGTCCCGGATGCCAGACTCTATCAAACGCCTGTTCAACGTCGAGAAAGACTCCCGTGC